AGATTTATCCCATCGTTATGGAATTTTTTCCCGCGCATTCCGTGGTTGTTCATGTCGCAACAGTTCTTGTGTGCCCTCTTACAGCTGACAACAACGCTACAGCATAGCAGAGTTTGCTAGAGCTTAAACAAGGGGAGCAGCAAGGAAGTAGATTGTAAACAGTGGGATTTAATTCTACTTATATGGGGTGTGCGATAGACTTACCTCCCACGTGGTGCATCCTGGGCAACGTATACTCATACGGCAAAAAGGTCTATTAACCGGCAGTTGACTTCTCACTTCAAACTACAATAACCCCACTGGTTGCCATATTCTACCACTTCCACAGTAATCATCCTACCTTTTCTCTGCTTTTGTGTCCATCTCTTTTACAACTGTTAACCACTCTTCTGTTCCCCATCCCTCGACTTTCTGTTACTACTCTTTTACAACTGTTAACCACTCTTCTGTTCCCCATCCCTCGACTTTCTGTTACTTTGATGTTCCTTCCCCCTGTGAAGCCCAAAGTCAGCTAAAGAGCTAATGATAGCTATCAAAACGCCTGCCATTTGAAATAAAATTCTACTTATATCTAATAGCTTACCTCACGAGCATTAGTTTGAAAACATGGCTTCGGCTTTTATGTAATAACCAACCATGTTACGCCTTTTATTCTCACTGTTTTTGCCGGTATTTTTTTGGAAAGAAATCAATAACATTTGTCCCATGTATTGTTTCTGTTCTTCATCTTCCTATAAATCAGATGTTATTTGTGTTATTTTTATTGCCCACAGTAGGGCAAAATAATAACAACTTTTTATTGTAGGAAACAACTGAAATTAGCTGAGAGGAAAGCTCAATAAATGTTAAAGGACTTGAGATTAAACAGTTACTAAGATTTAATTTTTAGACTCGGTTGTATAAGGTAGGCAGTTCATGTTTCAAAATTCAGATTTCAAGATTCGTTCTTTGAATTGCAGCAGGTGCTTGTCAGCAATATTTAATACTCGCTTGTCGTTATCATTATAAACAAGAAAGGTTGGTCTTGTCATTCTGTCTCGTTTTCTTTTCTTTTAATGGTTGGGAAGGCAAAAGTTTCTTGCATGGGTGCGTCTGCATTTAGTTTTAACTTGCACTCTAATTTTATATCCAAAGATCGCCAACCGTCAATGGTATTTCCTACTGCACTTTCTTCGTAAAAGAAGTAAATATCTAGTCGTATAACTTATTGTTTGTTTATAATTTAGTTAATACATCAAATGAATCAGCACCCAAGATAGGCTTGCAAGAGGCATTCCGTCAACGAATGCAAGCTTTCATAGCTCGATCGGAGGCTAGGCAACGTCTGATTCGCCTTGAAGCTCTAGAGCGCCGTCTTAAGTCTGAAAGAAGCGCACCGAAGGCATCTAGTGATTCCACCAATATCATTCCTTCTCGAAATAATCTACCTTCCTCATTCAATCGCACAAGGTCCTGGAACAGTGCTACACGTAAGGAAAGATATTCGACTTTGAAATTGTTTTTGTCTGCCTTGGTGGTGTATCGACAAAAGTTAGTGTAACTAGCGTATAGCTTAATTGCCTCTATTTTTTAAAACCGGTTAGAGAATTTCTGAAACGGAAGATTCAGGCTGTTTTTTTTCATTGCAAATATGTTTGATGGAGTGTAAAGCTATGAACACTAATTTTCAATAGATATTAATGAATCCACTTGATCTGATTAGATTGCATATTGAATTAAGACCGATCATATGGTACACGCACATGAGACCTTTATTGGCTAAATTGCTGATCAGTAATGGGTGGGAATTTTCCAAAATAAATATCTTACCTCTTACACCTGCTTGATTTTAATGAAAAGAGAAAGGTAGTTAGTCCGTTGGCTCATGATCGATTAATTACATTAATTAGCATTTTACTTGTTCAACTGATTGATTTTCACTTTTCAATAAATACTTTCAGGAACACTGAATGAACAGTCTAGAAGGCAGCGGAAAAGAAATCCAAGGCTTATTTTTGGTGGAAAATGACAAATGTGTCATTAAAACGTGAAATTGTTCAACAGCGATCGAATTTATGTTTACGTCTACGTACTCGCCTTGTTTTTTAGTGATCTCGAAATTTTTTTGCTAAAAGAAAGGAGATGATTGAGTAATTCCTCTCAGAGAAGTGAAAATAAGAATAAATGTATTTCTTTTCTTTCATTATTGTTCATTTTCTAGCATTGATCGTCTCTATCACACTAGGTTATTGCACAGGACTTGCAGTGGTCATTCTCGCTATAGAAACCCGTATATACATCTTGAATTTGTTTATCGATTTTTTATGCGTTTTTAATTAATGATTGCGTAATTAATTGAAGCCGAAATATTCTAGCATGTGGTTTAAAATTAATAGAATAATTTACAATCAATAGTTTACTCGATTGTATCAATTATTGCGAATCTATCGTGATCTACAAGCCGATCTCTCAGCCAGGAAGAGGGAAAACGCACATTCTCATTGTTATTAAGAAAAAAGTGGTTCAGCATATCGTGAATAATTTTTGTTCGCATAAAAAATTTATCCAAACTGTTATTTCAATAATGATTAGAACAGAATCGAAGATAAAATATTTGGTTCTACAAAGGAATATATGCAAATAGCCGCTTAGTCACTAGTGAAATTTAGGTCTTAGATTGAAGAAGGAAGCATTTCTTTAAAAAGATTGCTGGGATTCATCGCGCGAGGCACTTGTTCAATTTATTTACAATATGCATTTCTTGTAAATGCGCGAATTTAAAATAAACTTTTCTCGAATGTTCGTCGGCTGGTGAAAGAAAATCGATAGTCACACATGGACGCCCCGCAGTTAACGCTTTACTGAGCTACCAATTCTGAATAATCATGCTATTTATAGAAGTGGCATTAAAATGGAAATATTGACTACTCATGTTAAGTGTTAATTTATTGATCAACAATTATATTAAGCCCTCCAACTGCGTGGTGTTATGACTTCATTAAGGAGTCTCGATTTCCATTAATCTTCCACTTTTCTCACATCAGGTATGCATGCCACGTCTGACTTATACATATTATTAAATGAGGTATGAATAACTTTGTGAATGACTGGTGATCAGTCTATGGTTTAACTAGTGTAAATAGCTTTATTAAGTCATGGAGAAACGTTTCTACGGTGTTTTATTCAACTCTCGGATTCACTTCTTAACAACACTTATTTCTACTAGTAAGTGGGGAAATGAGCGAATCATGAATTTAGAGAGCGCTAAAGTGGGATTTGTAGAATTGATTCTCTATAAACCTCTCTCCTAAATTTAATTCGGCTTTTATTGTAGATTTATTTAACTTCAAACACTACGAAAATACAATAACATCAGTTTTCCTTTTTGAAGTTAATTCTCGCAATCGATTAAAGGGCCATAATGTGTGAAAATCATGATGTCGTTGTCACTGTGAAATCTTAACGGTCCTCTGCTATTAAGCAAATTGTCAATTCACTTTATTACATATTTCCAACCTTAATCAAGCTTCCCTAGAGAATAAATATTTCTGTGCTTGGGTCATGGTCTCTGGCTTAACTTGAAAATTCAACAAGTTAGTCTCGAACGAGAGGAACTTAAAACTCGTCTAATACCTTGTGGTCTTTAGAAACGCATGAAAGAAATTTAGAAGATTCAAGTTACCGCTGACACTGATTATAAATGGACCAAACTTGTTTTTTTTCAGAATTTATGTCAAAGGTAGGAATTAGAAGCTAATCTATAACTTATAAAATTAAAGTTGACAGAGAAGGAGTGAGTAGGAAGGTTAAAATAGAAAATAATTTTTCTATTAATACAGTTTACTTCTTGATTTAAGGCGTTATTTTTTAACTAAATGCCTTGTTGGAACATCTCTTATCGGTTGCTACAATTTTAAAGTAGAATTTAATTTACATTTCGATGATAATTTGTTTATAAGTTGGCTCCTGATCAGTTGATGGCAGGGCTAACCTTACAGCGGAAACTGCATTCCATAAAACTTTGTGGTTTCGGCTCTCGTATGGCTATATATATTTTAATTGTACTACAATTTAAAGCCGTAAAAAATTAATGCTTACAATGGGCAATAGTCATTAGCAATGAATATGGGGTGTAACATTTACCTCCTTCCTATTGGCAAATAATAATAACAAGGTCATAGTACTTGGGACCATTGAATAAATCAGTCTATTCTACATGCGTTTGAGACCTCTGACAGTTCTCATTGTACTAAGGTACTACTAAGCAGTAAAAGGAGAGCTCACAACCGCGAAGCTCTGTAAATTCATTCGCTAAAAAGTCGAACAAATTTATGACACATAGTTGCTAAGGTATTTCCTTTAAAATGTGAAATTACTTTAAATTTTAACGACATTGGAGACAGATAGGGGACATAAATGATCTACAAGTAATGTCATTAATGCTTGTAACAGCCGAAGATTTACTTTCGAAAATTCTCCCTTTAGCTGATGTGTATCCGTTTTTTTCTGCGGGCTGATTAATAAAATTGAACAAGAACACGTCACCACATAATTGGGAACAGAGAATTACTACCAGCCATCCACATGACAATTAGTGCCCGTTCATAAATGTCAAGGTTTAGAGCCACTTCGTTGTGTTATACTTCATGTCAGTCCCTAAACATTACTTCTCTTAAGAGGCAAAACGTCCACCGTCAGTATTGATTCACTTCTTCACCGAGGTCAAATAAGAAAATAGCATTTGTTAATCAGAGGCAGGAAGAACATGATTCGGGAGGATGTCTGCTTATATTAAAAGTCTACTAATAATACCAGGAACACAGATTATGAGTCAGATCTATTGCACTGAGAGATGTGGGGTGTATAAAAGGTCAAGTGATTATTGGGTTAATGATGGGGAGACAGATGGAACTTGAGGGGAAAGCATATTAGCCTGGCACAAAGTTGTTGAATTCGTCTATTACATTTAATCACTACACTACGCCTCTCTCCCTTGATAGATGTTTGTGAACTTTTCATCAAAGGAATGCATCTCCGAAGCAAGTGGGAGAAAAAAGATCATCATGTGGCTGATGCTTACGTAGATGGAACGTCCGCCATTAGTCAAGCCTGATTTGGTTTGGGATCGTGGCGAATTTAAATATTTTTTTCATTATTATTAAATCTTCACTATTTCTCAGGTACCCATATTGATGCAATTAATTCAGTAGCGTAGTAAACATTCTCGCTGTTTCTGAATGAAAATGTGATATTTTTATGCTTGATTTGCACCAATCTAGATGTTTACTTTAATATCCTCTTGTGTCACCATATTTTAACAGAATGATTTGCAAAAACATTTGACCTGACAGTTGAAAGATGCTCAGCTAAGCCATCTTAAAGTTATAAACGTGCTTCTTGAGGTGAAATTCTTGACGAAAAATAAAAAACCTTCCTCTAGAAAGTCGGAAATGAACACAATTTTCTTCTATATTTGCTCAGGCTTTCAAGTTTATTGTGTCAAGTTGTAAACGACGGAGAAATAAATGACAGTTTCAACTATTAATTCCTTTCCATGGTAACGCATATCTTTGTCTAACTTTTTGCCTTATATGTAAAATGAAAACTTAACGAAGGTATACTAGAAAGCTTAAAACAGGCAGCAATTTCAGTAGCCTTATTTCCCACTAAAAATGTAGACAAAATGTTGGCAAGTGTGCCTCTGTTTTTACTGACCTTGAGATGTTGGTGGTTTTCTCTTAAGTGGCATTGACGCGGTTTGACACTTTCGAGTTGGACATTTGAATAGGATTGATGAGCTTTTCATACATTGTGGAGAAGAGGTTTAATTAATTTTAACTATCGCTCATTTGTCATTACTCCGAGGGTACAGTCTACGTTCTTGAGCTATTTAATGCTATGCAAACGATAGAAATCTCAAGAATTGAAGTGTTGGTTTTATTTTGAATTATTCTGCTTGGAATTATTCTGGCCAGTAGATGAATGATCTCTCTTACTAAAGGCGGGAATTTAAGTTATTAGAAAAGAGAATGCTCTACTATTAGTCATGACCAAACCCAATGGCTAACTTCAAGTCTTCATTCACTCCCGCCCCCCTAGGTGTGACTTTGGAGAAACTGCCAGTACTTTATTCTTGCTAAACGAGGTTTAAAGATCAGACAACTGGAAAGGTGTCATGACAGCTCAAAAATGAAGTCTCCTTCGTTGAGGGTTGACCTCTGGGTTCAATGCAGAAATTGGTTTTTGCAAGTTTTATGCGATTTTTCGCTCTGTGTGACTATTAACCACAGATAAAACCTAAATCTACTAAGATAATCACATTTCAAAAATCACATGTCAAGCAATGTTTATCTTCTTTTCTTTTAGACAATTCCCATCGTAAGAAATTCCCAAAGTAAGAGATCGTTTAATTCAGAAATTCGAGTCGACATTTTTAGAAAATCTCTGACACCCTATGAAGAACATCAGTTGCGGCGGTTTCAAAAGAATAGTCACCTTCGTGTAAATCGTGAAAGGATGAAAGAATTCGGTGAGGTAAGAAAGCATTGGCGAAGTTTTTCCCCCTTAGCAAAATTTTCTTATTAATTTCAAAATTTTATTACTTTACAGGAGGTTAGACAACGCCTATTAAAATCCGCCTTATATTAGAATGTCGCCTGCGTTTCTGTCGAACTTGTCACTCTGAAGGTTTGAAGGCAGATATTTCTTTATGTATCTCAACCTATTAATTTTTCAGGTCACTTATTCTTTCTGGTGCCGTTATATATAGTATGTTTTTATCCATGTTATAATACATATAGCATGCAGATGTAATTGCGCTTCTCTATTGTTGTGTAGTTGATTTTGTTTAGCATCAGGAAAACGAAGGGGTTCGGAACAGAATTTCGTGGGGTTTAAAGAAAAGTCATATGTTGTAAAAGCCTTTTCAGAATTTAAGTTCACTGAGGCATGTTTTGCAAGATCTATGATATTTCCATAACCTCTTTAGTTGACATTGGGCTTCACAGAGGGGGGGGGGGTGGAACATATATATATATATAGGCTTTTGTAAAGTTAACAGTAGTTCATTAGTTGATTTCTGGCTTCCCAGTATCTCTGGGTTTCCGTCGTTGTCTTTAGAGCTGGACACCGAATCAAGTGGGTCTTCTCCATATCCATGTTGGTTGAGCCTAAACCCCCATCCTGTGAAAGTGCTTCGCTAGGCATAGTTTAAACCGTGTAACAGCTTCGATTCTTGGCCAGTCGGCTATGTAGGAGAATGCCACTATTTCGTTGCTTCTTGTAGTCTTAAATTCTCTCCTGATTAAGGCCTTCATATTGTTGAAAGACAACGACCGATCTATGCTTAGCAAAATTGTGGTTCCCATCATAGCAAGTGTACCATTGCGCTCATTGCCTATAATTTCACAGTTTCCGGGGATCCATCGAAGAAGAACTACTGCTTTGTTTTTTTCGCTTAGAAAGCGATCACAGCAACACAGAATGGCAAATGCTTGTCCTTAGCCCTTAAAAATATACAATGCAAGATATTTTAGAGATTGCTAGTTTAGTTTGGAAACAACTCTACTCATTTAAAAGGGCATTTTTAAAAGGGTGTTTGGCATTGATCGTTCCTTCATAAAATCCAACTACAAATGCAAACTTTGCCATCTAACTTCACAGCTCTTATTACTTCGGTGTTTGGAATCGCAGTGCCGCTTGACACGATAAATTTATTTTTGAGTATGACTTACCACCCTTTGTCAACGAAAATGTCTATTTTACACATATATAAACTGATTTCATTGATGGCATAACGTGCTCTGTTGCGTCACCCACATAGTTCCCGGTAATGGGTTCTATCTATGTTTGTGTGACTTTTTGATTTAAGTGATTTTGTAACATTTTGGCATTTTCTCATCTTCATCCACTCGTCCTGAAATCAAATGTATCCCTATGAGGAGCAAAACTAGTGCGTAATACCATTTTGTGCAAGAAAACTGGATAATTTGCATTTAATTTCAAACTCGATTCCTTTGTTGATTTGAATAGATATTGGGATTGTACTTGTTCTAGACCCTCATCTTGGACAACCAAGTTGAAAGGGAGGCATCAGTTTCCACATTTCCCAACTTAGATGCCTCCTTGGGAGTATCAGATCATTCCTTTTTGGTCGAGCGTCGAGTATGTTGAACCCACTAGTGTTGACTTTGCAAATGCGAATTTTACCCGCAGCCATCGGCTCACTTAGAAACTGAGAAAATTTAATTTCTTAATTTTTTGTTTTTTAATGGACTAGTATTTTACGATTAGCTCAGTACTTTTAAATGAAGTAGCCTAACTAGGTTAAAGTAAAATTCATTCCTTGTTAGGAGGGAAATCATCTCCCATTTCGTAATTTATGCATTCTGAACCGAAAACAATTCCAATGTTTATTTCATTGCCTGTACTTTCATTGTAACAGTGAATTTAAACTTATAAATTCGCTCATATAACGATGCATCTTATTTGATTTATCATTGTCAACATTCTCTAAGGTTTTTATATCGATAATGAGATTCATGTGTGCTATTTCACAAGGAGATCATGCAGATATCTCAGTGGTTCGACATTTCTCAAGGAGATGGTTACTGATGGGGTAAAAACCAATGAAAACTGTAAGAAAAGAACAATGAACAGATAGAAGGTTGAAGACTGTAATAAAGGGCCAAGTTATGTAACACGGATTCGCGTACCTCGTTAATTTGCTGGGCAAACAATGAGATCATCTGATAGTGCAGTAGATATTTGAGTCAGTTTGTGTACTATATAGATTTTTTACTCCGTGGTTAGAAAATGCATCCTTAAAAAAGTTTCTTCTCAAAATTCGATGTGGAAAACGATTGGTCAATGAAGTTTAATTCACTTTTACCATATTCATTCCAAGATACCGTATGGCAAGACCAAAGCTCTCAACTACGCTTAAACAAATTTAGGTAGAATTATTAATTTATATCAAATGGCAGACATTTTGATCATTATCATTAGCCCTTTAGCTGACTTTGGGCTTCACAGAAGGGACGAACGTCACAAAAAGTGAAGTGGGTTAACAGAAGTGTGGTTCATAGATGTAAAGGAGACCGACATAAAGGTCGTAAAAAGTGTAAGCTGAGTGTCGTGGAAGTGATCGAATAAGACATACAATGGGGTCATTGTAGTTAGAAGTCAGAAGTCAACTGCCAGTCAATAGACTTTTTTGCCGTATGGGCATAAGTTGCCCGGGGTGCACCACGTGGAGGTAGGTTTATCGCACATCTCTTGGTGAAAATATGGATTAGATGAAAATGTAACCTATTAAATCTG